GAGAAATATTTACGGCTGCCAGAACAGTTGATTGTGTTTCTGGGTTCTTATGTGTGCATATATTTGTGTGTGAAAGTCATTAGCAATCGGATATGAAGGAATGCCATGTGAATGCATACAAAACTAAGCTTCTCTGTTTCTCAACGAGTAAGGACGCACTCGCTGCTGCGGGTGCTACAAAGTCTTAACAGGGCCTAGTGTGCTTTCTGAGTTATGTTGAACGTCTGTGTTATCACAAGTGATTTCGAGATCGTTCTTTTCTGAGGGGTTACATTCTAACAAGGGAATCGCTGTTTCTGTGGGCAATTGTTGGTCGAATACGGCTCGAGGTTATGAAGTGATAGGGTTTGTTTCGTTAGATTCTTTATTTGGCAAGGAGCAAGGTGACGAACAGATACCGTCTCCTCTTGCCCCCCAGGAAGAATCACGCGGGTTTAGTTCGGGTTAAATTCGACCAGTTGCCCTTCGTCGACCAAAGGGTCGTACTTTGATTGATGATTGTGTCGTCTAAACAACACTCGATCGGACTGTACGAGCCAGCTGGGTAGTGATATTCCTGATACTGCTTTCCTGTTATGTCGAAACATTCGTTCATGAGGGGTCTCATTGGTTGCCGTGGACAACAAAGACCAAATAGAATGAAGAGCGTTTAAAAGGACCTCTCAGTGACGGATGTTCAAATTTCTGGACTTTAATGTCAACATTATTGCTTGCCACAACGATCCGTTCAGGCGTTCCACTTGACCATTGGCCTGTAGGCCATAGTTCTGCTGGTTGCGACGCCCTTGGAGTGCAAGAAGTGCTTGAGTTCTTCTGACATCAAAGAGGAGTCGCGGTCTGAGTGGATATAGTTTGATGGTTAGGGACACTGAGTGATATGGCTGGGTGTCGTGAACAGTGGCGTTCGTGCATCTCCTCAATTTCTTTGCAACCTTAGACCACTGAACGTTTCCATTTTCTGTTCAACTTCACTTTCAACTTCACTTTTTTCTGTTCTTCATCCAAATGGGCACCCAAAAGACAGCAACCGAAACTGGCGCACGAGTATGCGTGGTTAATGGTTGTACAAACTGAAACTGAAACTGGATGTAGTTCGGCATTCCGAAGATAGAGAAGAGTTGACAGATTGACAGTTGACTTAATTACTGTTGTGGAGGACATGTCTTGACAGACGAATGCGAAAGGAAATCGGGAGTATTCGTCGATGATCGTCAAGAGATATCTATTGAGTATGCAAAATGGCAGCGGACCCTTGAAATCCATACTTAGTCTTTCGAACGCTTGAGTTGTCTTGATTAATGGTTTGTAGAACCTGGGTTTAATCTCAGCGCATACTTGGCACCGGTAAATTACTCGTCGAACCTCATCCACGGAATATGGTAGGTTACGAGAACGGACGATGTGATACATACAGGTTATCCCCGGATGACAGAGTGCCTCGTGTAACTCCTTAAGCACGTTGCGATCTATAGCGGCTGTACAGAACCCGCGTGAAAACGCCTCGGTCGTTAAATTGTCACATCCTGGTCGGTCGCTGACATCGTACCGGTAGCATGATAGTTCAGCTCTTCAGCACTGATTTTTTTCGTTTTTTATTTTTCCGTTTTGGCTCATTATTGAACATGAATTCAACTGATCGTTGATCGGTGACCAGCTTGAAAAATGGTTTCCCAATAAAAAGTGTCTCAATTTTCTCAATGCTTCCACTATGGCGTAAGCTTCTTTTTCGACCGCGGAACGATACTTTTCAGTTGATGTTAGTGTTCTAGAGAAAACTGCCACCGGGCTACCGCTTTGGTTTAGGGTGGCAGCGATGGCAACATCTGAGGCATCTGTCTCGATAACAAGAAGCGCTCCGGGCACCACAGTGACTACCATCGCGCTTTCAAGTTCTTGCTTTAACTTTCCATAGCATCATTTAATGGGTTCAGAGAGTGGGAATGATCGGTTTTGGACTAGCGAGTTGATCTTGTCTGAGAAGTGTGATATCCATTGTGAGTAATACGCGAACATTCCTAATGCGCGCTCCTATTCTATCACATTTCGAGGTGGCGGCAGGTCCCTTAAGGGTTTGAGTCTTTCAGGATCTGGTCTAACAGCTCCCTTTGAAACTTCAAAACCCAAAATGTTTTTTTTCTCACAGACGTGATACTCTTAGCTTCGTTAAACGTGAGTCCATATCTCTTGGCCACATCCAAAAATTTCTGTAGATTTCGATTGTGCTCTGTCACATCCATACCGCAGATTATTACGTTGCCCACGTAGGCATAGGTACCGGATAGTTGTTCCTTGTTGATTATATTATCCAGAGTTCGCTAGAAACATGCTACGCCATTGGTCACTCCGAATTGGATGCGGCGGAACTGATATAGCTTCCCACAAGCCTCAAAGCCGGTGTATTTCTTTTCTTCTGTTTGGATGAGTATTTGGTGGTAGACACTTCAGGTCTAGGGTACTGAATTTATCAAAACGCGTAATTTGTTCAATGAAGTGGTCCATGCGGGAAAACGGATACGCATCGAGGTACGTGAATCGATTTATGGTTTGACTGTAATCCACGACCATACGTTTCTTATGTCTTTCATTAGAGGTTACTAAAATCTGGGTCCTCCGAGGAGACCTCGACGGTTCGATGATTCCTGCATCTAGTAATTTCCGGACTTGAGATTTGAATGTATGAATAGTTCATCTGATGTTGAATGGCGTCTGAACCTAGTTGTGATAGGTTGGCATTCAGATGATAAGTCTCCAAAGAGGGTTGGTGGTTCTACTTTCGCAGCGAAAAGCCCGCTCACGGAGAATATGGGCCTGCCTCCAGAGAATAGAAGTTCCATTCGTTTTGTAGTCGGAGAAAATCATGGCCTGCGCATAATCTTTTAATTACGGATAGTTTGATATTTTCATAGCTCAAACCTTCGTATGCTATCGAAACCAGACACTGGCCTTGTATAACATTTGACAGAGCCGTGGACGCCATGGTGATCCGACTTCGTGAATATATAATCTATATATAATCTCTCGGAGCTGCCTGTATGATAAGTGCCTGTAACGGGGTATTGTTGAATGTTAGTTGTGTAAATGCTTTAGACAGACAATTAGGAGCTGCAGCAACTGTTACTGAAGAAAGCAGGGAATCTACCGCTGACATAAATCGTTTCGTGGGCTGTGAAGCACAACAAACTCGCTGATAGTGTCCCTTCCTTCCGCAAGCTTTGCAGACAGCATCTCGAGCCGGACATTTTGGTCGTGGGTGTCGATCAAAGCCACAAAAGTAGCAATAAGAGCTACCAACAGCCGTTACCGGTTCTATCGCGGCTTCTCGGTTGCAGGTTTCTACTGCCGGCTGTACTGAATTGGCAGACACGGAACAGAAGAGTTTGTTACTCCGGTTTTGATACAATACAGCCTGTTTCTGTGCTGCATCAAATTGTCTGGCTAAATCGACGGCCTTTTGGAGGTGGAGAGTTTGTTCCTCGAGGAGCCTCTGGCGAAT